CTAATCTCTATGTGAAAGAAAGTCTCTCAGTATTTGAGAGAAAGCAGCCAATTTCAGAACTGCAACTTCTCTGGCTGTCTCCTTAGCTGTGCTTTATTTCTCAGAGTTTTTAAGTCCATTCCACTTTCTCTTCACTCCTTCCGGGCTCACAGTAGTAAACTGAAGCATACTTTTTTAAGATAAAATGAAGTAATTATATCATGCTTCTTACCTGCAAGCACATGAGTTTTGATGCCTTTCAAGAGGAATATATTAGATGGGCAGGTGGTTGGTAATCATCCTACTCTGTCTCATTGGGTGACATTTAAATAATCACACTCAAATCTGCAGTCACTAGAGAGGAGCATTTCAAGTGAATTACTGAGTATTTACTTCACACTACAGTTAATGATTAGGCATACAGATAAATAAGGGAACATTTTCATGACATCCATACTATTGAATGCAGTGAACATCTAGAATGCAACTTGATTTCTAAAAATTCCTACAGTTACCAGTAAACAAAAAGAATACATCTGAATGGGGAAAATTTCAATTCTTTTCCAGGTTCGGGTTGTCTTGCAGCTTATTTTTAGAGATGCCTAGGACACTGAGATAATCGATGATTCATAGGCAAATTTTTTTTGACTTGGTAATTATGTCCACAAAAACTATTGATAGAGTTAAAAAAAAAATTAACCTGGATTACTAGAATATTTTCCCTGAAGATCTGTCAGTAGAATGGGGCAGACATTATTATTTTTAGTAATAATTTATGTGGGTTCTAGTAATATTCACCATGTTAACAATTAATACTGAGAAATGCTTAAAATATGTATACAGTTATCTTAATATAATTTATATTTTAACAGTTTCTATGAAAAATAATTTTATTTTTCAGTAATAATAATGTTGAGTAATATTTTTATTGTATAAATGTAAGGTGTACAACATGATTACGTGTACATCTGCATGGTGAAGTGCTTATAACAGCCAAATACATTAATTACTACATTATCTTCCATAGTTACCTTTCCTTTTTACATGTGTATGTGTGTGTGTGTGTGTGTGTGTGTGTGTGTGTGTGTGTGTGTGGTGTAAGAGCATCTAAAATTTATTGTTTTAACAAATTTCCAATATATACTATGCAATATCGACTACAGTGCTTATGCTGTATGCTAGTCCTCTGCAGGTATTAATCCTGTGTAAATAAAAAATTCATACCCTTTGGCCCACATCTTCCATTTTTTCTGTACCTTTCCCAACGACCATTCTACTCTGCTGCTTTGTGTTTATGATTATGTTTTTAAGATTCCACATATGAGTTCATGTAGTATTTGTCTTCCTATATCTGGCTTATTTTACTGAACGTGTCATCTAGGTTCATCCATGTTGCTGAAAATGGCAGGATCTCCTTTTTTAGGGCCAGATAGTATACTGTTGCATGTATATGTATACAATGGTTTCTTTATCCATTCCTTTATCAGTAGACACTTAGGTTGTTTCCCTACCTTGACTATTGAGAATAATTCTACAATAAGCATGGACACGCAGATATCCTAATAAGGCGGTGATTTCATTTCCTTTGGGGATATATCCAAAAGAGGGATTGCTATGGTAATTCTACATGAATTACTATATGGTAGTTCTACATTGAATTTCTTTTAGGAAGCTCTGTGAAGTTTTCCAAAGTGGCCACATAAATCTGCATTCCTACCAAGAGTTTACAAGTGTTTCCTTTCTCTACACCCTCAGCATCACTTATCTCTTGTCTTTTTCATAATAAGCATCCCAACAGATGTTAGTGGATAAATCGTTGTGGTTTTGATTTGTATTTTCCTGATGGCCAGTGATGTTGAGCATATTTTCATATACTTTTTGGCCATTTTTATGTCTTCTCTGGATATAAGTCTGTTCAGGTCCTTTACCTATTTTTTAATCAGGTTATTATATTGTTTTGCTATTGGGTTGTTTGAATTCCTTATATATTTTAGGTATTAGCCTTTTGAGAGATTCTGGTTGGTAAATCTATTCTCCCGGTATTTATGTTGTCTCTTTAGCCTTTTTACTATTGTTTCATGATAAAAACAGCGTTGAGACAGGGATAAATCCAACTTGGTCATTGTGTGTAATTTCTTTGATGTGTTGAGTACATTTTGCTGGTGTTCTCTTAATGATTTTTTCATCTATGTTCATCTTAGATCGTGGTCTTTAGTTTTCTTTTTTTTTTTTTTTTTTTTTTTTTGAGACGGAGTTTCGCTCTTGTTACCCAGGCTGGAGTGCAATGGCGCGATCTTGGCTCACCGCAACCTCCGCCTCCGGGGTTCAGGCAATTCTCCTGCCCCAGCCTCCTGAGTCGCTGAGATTACAGGCACGTGCCACCATGCCCAGCTAATTTTTTTGTATTTTTAGTAGAGACGGGGTTTCACCATGTTGACCAGGATGGTCTCGATCTCTTGACCTCGTGATCCACCCGCCTCGGCCTCCCACAGTGCTGGGATTACAGACTTGAGCCACCGCGCCCGGCCTAGTTTTCTTATTGTGTCTGACTTTGACATAGGAATGATGCTGGCCACAAAAATGGGTTTGAAAGTATTCCCTCTAGTTCTAAACTTTAGAAAAGTTTAAGAAGAATTTGAGATATGTTCCATGAATATCTAGTTTATTGCACATTTTAAACATGAAGGGATGTTAAATTTTATCAAAGGCTTTTTCTGCGTGTATTGAGATAATCATGTGGTTTTTCTCCTTGGCTCTGTTTATGTGGTATGTTTATTGATTTGCATATGTTGAACCAGCCTTACATCCCAGGGATGAAGCCAACTTGATCATAGTGGATAAACTTTTTCATGTGCTGCTGGATTCAGTTTGCCAATATCTTATTGAGGATTTTCACATTGGTGTTCATTAGGGATATTGGCTTGAAGTTTTGTATTTTTTGTCTGCCATGTATTTGTATCAGGATGATGCTGGCCTCATAGAATGAGTTAGAAAGAAGTCTCTCCTTTTCAGCTGTTTGGAATAGTTTCAGAAGGAATAGTACAGGCTCCTCTTTGTACCTCTGGTAGAATTGGTCTGTGAAACTGTCTGGTCCTGGGTTTCTTTTTTGGTTGGTAGGCTATTAATTACTGCCTCAATTTCAGAACATCTTATTGGTCTATTCAGGGATTTGACTTTTTCCCAGTTTATTCTTGGGAGGGTGTATATGTCCAGGAATTTATCCGTTTCTTCTAAATTTTCTAGTTTATTGGCATAGAGTAATATAGTATTCTCTGAGTTTGTATTTCTGTGGGGTCAGTGGTGATATCTCCTTTAATAACTTGTTACTCTGTTTGATTCTTCTCTCTCTTCTTCTTTATTAGTCTAGCTAGGGTTTATCTATTTTGTTAATTTTTTCAGTAAACCAGCTCCTGGATTCATTGATTTTTTTGGAGGGTTTTTTATGTCTCTATTTCCTTCAATTCTTGTCTGATCTTTGTTATTCCTTGTCTCCTGCTAGCTTTTGGATTAGTTTGCTCTTGCCTCTCTAGTTCTTTTAGTTGTGATGTTAGGTTGTCAAATGAGATCTTTCTTTCTTATGTGGGCATTTAGTCATATAAATTTCCCTCTTAACACTACTTGAGCTGTATCCCAGAGATTCTGGTATGTTGTCTCTTTGTTCTTGTTGGTTTCAAAAAACTTTTACAAGGTATTAATTGGTTATACTGTATTAGCAGAATAACAATTTATAACAATATTACTTGCCAATATACTCCATACTTTCTTTTACTATTCAGTGAAGCAATTGTTTGGCTTTATGGCTACACAGACAGTTTTTCTTTCATAGCTAAGTTTATTTTGTCATAAGGCAATCAAGTAGCACAAAACTATTAAAAACTACAGGCAACCAAGATCTAGCAAATAAATTTGAAGATCATGTTCACCCCGAATAAACAAGTGCCTTTAAAAAAATTCTTCCAACTTTTAACTTCAAACACAGAAAAGTTGAAAAAGAAGTACTGTAAAGACACATGTGCCCTTTATTTAGATTCGCAAGTTATTAACATTTTCTGGGACTGGTTTTGTGCATCTCTATGTCTCTTTTCCTCTTCACATACACACTCATTTTCTCTCTCTTAAACACACATACATATACATGCACACACTCACATTTTGGGGAGCTCTGAACTGCTTGAAATCAAAGTGCAGACATCAAGATTTTACAAAAATACTTAAGGGATTTTTCCAGAAATTAGCACATTATTTTATGTTACCACTGTAACAATCACAAGACATTAGCTACTAATAATTAATATTATGTAGTATGCAGTCTAAATTTAAATGTATCCACTTGCTCTCAAATATTCTTTATATTAGGGATCATATATTGGATTTTTTTGTTGTGTTTCTTATTTTCATCAGTCTAGAATATTGCTTCCTCTCCATCCTTTTCCCTCATCTTTTACAACCTTGATATTTTTGAAAGGTCCAGAATAATTATCTCATAGAATGTTTCTCAAACTGGATTCATCTAACTGTTCTTCTATATTAGATAAAATGTTTAGGCAAATATTATGTTTCCCATTGCATTACATCAGGAAGTTTATAATGTCACTGTATCTCAATATTTGTGAAGCTAAGTTTCATCTCTTCGTTTTAAATTCCGTACTTAATAAACATTTGATGGGTAATAGAGATATATGAATGTCCTTTTCCTAACAATATGTTAGTGTATAGTGTTAGGAGTAATTTCATGCCAGAATCTCATATTACCTTGGTGGTATTTGCAAAACGGTGATTTTAAATTTCAGGCATTTTTCTAGCTCAGGCCGGTAGATTTTTTCAGTAAAGAGCCACTTTCTAAGTATTTTAGGCTTTGTGGGCTACATATGGTCTCTGTTACATATTCTATTTCTTCTTTAGCTATGTAAAAATTATCATGGACTGCAGGAAAATAGTCTGCAGCAGAATTTGAGCCATGAGCAGTAATTTGTCAAAGTCCTGTTCTGTGTTATAAAGAGCTTTCCTTTTCATTGTAACACCTGTGTGTGTGTGTGTGTGTGTGTGTGTCAGAGGGAGAGAATGAGATTCTTTAGTAACTGTATGTCTTTTGTAGAGTTGGTCTGTTTAAGCTTTTTATAAAAATAAATACTCTTTTGGATTTAACTTTGGTAAATAACACTGTCTTAAGAAAATTTCAATTTCATATTCTGTGCTTTCTGATACAATACCACTAGCTGCATGAGACTATTCAAATTTAAACTAATTATAATGCAATTATAATTAAAAATTAAGTAAATTAATAATCAGAAAAATTCAATTTCTCAGTCGCATGAGCCACATTTAAGTGTACAAGTATTCACTCAACACACGTAGCTAGTGGCTACATATTGAACAGTGCAGATGTAGGACATTTTTATGATTTAGAAGTTGTATTGGATAGTAATCAATGCAGATTTCAAATATATTTGTATACAGTTGTGTAAAATAGTCCCTTATAATTAGAGTTAACTTATAATGTTTTTCTTGTCTTTTTTTGCTTTTGTGCTTATTTCCTTTCTTACCAATTTGTCTATTTCCTTCTTTTCAAGGCACCAAACTATTTATTATATCTACTCTTTTTTGGTTTTTATCTCACATTTTCCTTTCCTTATGCTTTCTTTTGATTTAGTTTATCAGTTATTTTTTAAATTTTATTTTAGTTCAGAGGTACATGTGCAGGTTTATTATATAGGTGTCACTGGGGATTTGTGTACAGATTATTTAGTCACCTATGTGGTAGGCACAGCACCTGATAGGTAGTTTTTCAGTCCTGACCCTCCTCCTTCCCTCCATCCTCAAATAAGTCCAGGTGTCTGTTGTGTCCATGTGTACTCAATGTTGAGCTTCTACTCGTGAGAACATGTAGTATGTGGTTTTCTGTTCCTCTGTTAGTTCATGTAAGATAATGGCTTTTACCTTCATCGATGTTGCTGCAAAGGATATGACCTCATTCTGTTTTATGGCTCCATCGTGTTCCGTGGTGTATATGTACCACATTTTCTTTATCAGTCTACCATCCATGGGCATTTAAGTTGGTTTTGGTTCTTTGCTATTGGGAATCATGCTGCAATGAGCATGTGCGTGCATGTATCTCTTTCTTTTCTCTGTTATCTTTCCCTCCCTCCCTCCTCCCTTCCTCTTTTCTTTCTCTCTTCCTTTCTTTTTCTCTTTCCTTCTCTTTCTCTCTCTCCCTTTCTTTCTCTTATTTCTTTCTTCATTTCTTTCTTTTTTCTTTTGTTATTTCTTTCTCTTTTTTTCTTTTGTTCTTTCTTTCATCTTCCTTCCTTTCTCTGTTTCTCTCTCTCTTTCTTTCTCTCTTTCTCTTTCTTTCTTTTTTCTTTCTTTCTCCTTTCCTCCCTCCCTCTCTCCCTCCCTTTCTCCCTCCTTCCTTCCCTCCCTCCTTCTCTTTGCTTCTGTCACCCAGGTTGGAGTGCAGTGGCACCATCTTGCCTCATTGCAAGCTCCATATCCCAGGTTCAAATGATTCTCCTTCCTTAGCCTCCTCAGTAGCTGGAACCACAAGTGCCCACCACCAGATCCAGCTAAGTTTTGTATTTTTTATTAGAGGCTGGGTTTCTCCATGTTGCTCCGGTTATC